GGTCTAGTGGGAGAGCTTTGAGTTTCTCACCATTAGGTATGATGCTAGTTGTAGAGGTTTTTGGGTAAATTGTTCTTTATCAAGTTGGGTAAGTTCTCCTCTATTTGTAGTTTACTGACTTTTCCTGTTTTTAAAATTGTAGTAAACAAACGTATAACATAAAAATTACCATCTTAAGTATTTTTAAGCGTACATTTCAAGAATGTTAAGTATATGCACATTGTTATGTGATCGATCTGCAGAACTCTTTTCATCTTGCAAAACTTAAGCTCTGTGCCCATTAAGTAACTCTCCATTTCTCCTTTGTCTAGCTCCTGGTACCCACCTCATATAAATGGAATCACACAGTGTTTATCTTTTTGTTTCCGGCTTATTTCATTTAGTACAATGTCCTCAAAGCTTATCTGTGTCATAGCGTGCATCAGAATTTCCTTCCTTTTTAAGACTGAATAATTCCATTGTATTTGACCACATTTTAAAAATTCCGTTGTCAACCTGTTGGCCAATTCAGTGCCGACTGGAATCCCCAGTTTGGGGTGTGGTGAAGAAGGAAACTTTATTCGTTGTAAAACAGCTCAGTTGTGGTACAGCACAGCTGTGAGGCAGCCCCGGGGTCAGGTAGCCGGTAGCCTCACCCCTCTCCAGCTAAACAGCTCTTCCCTGCTCCACTCTGTGCCAATATGCTCTGGCCTACACTAATCTGCTCTGGTAAAACATTTTCAGTGTTTCTGCTCAGCCAGAGAAACTCAGTCTTCGATGGAAAGGGAAAGTGCACTCCCCAAGCCAGAGGACGTCCCTGCCTGTGGTCCCTGATTGGTCCATCTTCATATAAATGAAGACTCTAAATCACCAAATTGGTCCAAAAAGGCACTGCCCTGATTGGTCAAAATGGAGGCACTCTGACTGATTGCTGAAGAAGCTGATTGGGATATACAGCTACCCAGCTCAGATTGGATGAGGAAAGCCTCAGTTCCATTGGTTGGAGTAGGATTCCAGGAACTGTTTTATAAGGGCTGGCTCAGAGGGCAACTCAATGTGGGCTTCTCCCTGAAGTGGTTTGAATGAAGGGCCCCTGTGTAGAAGTAGAAATGGCTGCTAGATTTTTAGTTTCAGCCCAGGTTACCACTGTATGCCCTTTTTAGCAGTACTTTATTTTTTTTTATTTATAGAGAGAGGGGAAAAGAGGGAGAAAGAGAGGGAGAGAAACATCAGTGTGTGGTTGCCTCTCACGTGGCCCCACTGGGGACCTGGCCCGCAACCCAGGCATGTGCCCTGACTGGGAATTGAACCCGAGACCCTTTGGTTCACAGCCTGTGCTCAATCCACTGAGCTATACCAGCCAGGACTGATTTTGTTGAAATCTTTTAATGTGCTTGTTAGTTATTTGTATATCTTCTCTGGAGAAACAATTCAAGTCCTTTGCCCATCCTTTAGTTGGGTTTTGTTTTGTTTTTCAGCTGTTGACTTGTAAGAGTTCTTTACATACTTTGCATATTAATGGCTTGCAAATACTTTGTCTTTTCACATATCCCCTCCTTTAACTTTTTAAAAATTAAATTTATTGGGATGACATTGGCTAATAAAATTATATAAATTTCAAGTGTGCAATTCTATATTATCTGTATGTTGAATTGTGTCCACCACTCAAGTCAAGTCTCCTTCTGTCATCATACACTCAAATATATAAATGTGTGTGTGTGTGTGTGTGTGTGTGTATATATATATATTTATCCTCATCTGTGGACATGCTTACTGAAATTAAGAGGGGAAGAGAGGGAAAGAAAGGGAGATGTGAGAGGGAAACATTGACTATGTCTTAGATGCACCCCATCCAGGGACTGAGCTTGCAACCCAGGCATGTGCCCTGCCTGTGAACTGAACCCATGATCTTTTGGTTTACAGGACGATGCTCCAACCAACTGAGCTGTTGCTCTCAGTTTTATATTCCATGAGTGAAGTCATATGGTTCTTGACTGCATATCCCTTTTACATTGTATTTAATAATGTATCTGTCACCACACCTCACAACTTCAAAAGCTAGGACAGTGACAGTAATTTATACCTACCTGAATCCCATTCCCATGCTTCCCCAAATTAAAGGTAATGTAGCAGTATTTTGAATTTTGTTTTTATTTTATTAAAGAAATACAATAGTACCCCCTTACTTGAGGTTTTGCTTTCTGTGGCCTCAAGTACCTGTGGTCAACTGTGGCACAAAAATATTAAACGAAAAATTCCAAAAAGAAACACAACATAGTACAGCCCTGACTGTTGTGGCTCAGTAGGTTAGGTGTTGTCCTGCAAACTTCAAGGCCACTGGTTCAATTCCTGGTCAGGGCACATGCCTAGGTTGCAGGCTAGGTCCCTGGTTGGGGGCGTGAGACAGGCAGCTGATTAATGTTTCTTTCCCCCTCCCTCCCCCCCTCTCTAAAAACAAATAAAATCTTTTAAAAAAAGTGTACATATATATATGCTTTGGTACAATCTGTGGTTTTAGGCATCCGCTGGGGATCTTGGATAAGGAAGGACTACTAATAGTTCTACAAGACATTTACGCCTAAACAATACATCTTTTTGTTTGAGTTGCTTTTGAACTGTATAAAACGGTCAATAATTTTACACAGTGCTGAGTGGCTTTCCAAGTGATTGTGCTGGTGTCCACTCTCCCCAGTAATATCTGTGATTCTTATTGACCCTCATCTTCTCCAACACTGGCTTTGTCCAATTTCTTTATTTTTGCCAATTGAATGGGTCTAAAATGGTGTCTCAGTCTTTGGCATTCTCCTGATTATGAATGAGATTGAGTGAGCATATCTTCGTGTGTTTATTGGCCTTGTCTTCTCTTCTATAATGTGCATTGTGTCTTTCTTCTCATTTTGTTTTTAGGTTGGTTATTCTTATTGATTTGTATGCATACCAGGGAGATCTAGGGGTATCTTCAGGGATAAAGAGGAGATAAATGCATTTGTCCTCCCAGGGTGCTGCCCAGTTCACCTCCTTGGGGTGTGCCAGAGCAGCTCCATGGTCCCTGCAAATCTCACCACCAGAGGGCACTGTCACTGTCGCTTTTGTCAGGATAGCTGGCAAGAAATGAACTTCCATTATTTGAGGTTGCGCTCTTTTAAAGTTGAACATCTTTAAATTGTTTATTTTTTTTATCCTCACTGGAGGACATTATATTTATTTATTTATTTACTTATTTTTAGAGAGGGGAAGGGAGAAAGAGGGAGAGACATTGGTGTGTGGTTGCCTCTCACACACCCCCTACTGGGGACTTGGCCCACAACCCTGACTGGGAATCTAACTGGCAACCCTTTGGTTCACAGGTGGGCACTCAATCCATTGGGCCACACCAGCCAGGGCCAGAGGCCATCTTTTTCCTTCAATTGCTTTTAGAGAGCGTGGAAGGATGAGAGAGAAATATCGATGGGAGAGAGAAGCATCATTGGTTGCCTCCCATACTTGCTCAGACAAGTGATTACAAGGTCCTTATGAGGGTGGGGGTGGAGGGGGGGGTTGTACGTGCCTGCTCCTATCCCTGGCATCAAACCACAACCTTTTCATTACTGTGGGATGTTCCAACTGAGCCACATAGGCCAGGGCCATGTTGCACATCTTTTTGATTTGCTTCAAGGCCCATTGAATCTTCCCCTCTGAGCAACCTGTACATCCCATGTCTCCCTTATCTCCAAATCTGCTTTTCTCTTTCAATATTTACTCTCACATTTCTATTTGATAACCCTTTTGTGTCTTTTTTTCTCTTTTGCCATTTCTCAATCTTCTCTCCAATTTTCTTCCTCAAGGTCCTTCCACCTTCTCACAAGTCCTTCTCTGTAACACCTCAGCTTCTCTGAAAGCTCTGGGTCTGCTCTTTGTTGCTGTCTCTCCGGTGCTTCTTTCCCTCTCTTCTTTCTCTTGTCCTGTTTGCTTCTTCTTCCCGTGACATCTGCCACTCGCCTGTTCTTCCCTCTTCCCTTTCTAGTTCCTCTTTCCAGCTTCTCAAACATTTTTCTCTCTTTTTAAAAATATTTATTTTAGAGAGAGGGGTAGAGAGGAAGAGAGAGAAACACTGATCAGTTGCACAGAACCTGCAACCTAGGCATGTGCCCCAACAGGGAATCAAACTGCCAACCTTTCAGTTTGCAAGCCAGCACTCAATCCACTGAACCACATCAGGTGGGACCCTCAGTCTAGTCTTGATTCGCTGTCTTCTTTTGCCTCTCCTGTCCCCCTGACCTCCTTTCCTTCTTCCACTGCCACTTTTCCTTGCCATTTCTTCTCAGATCTGCTCCTCTTTGATCCTGTTTCCCCACCCCTCTCTCTCAGTGATCTGTCCTCTATCTCTAAAATAGTTGCCCCCCCCTTTGTCCCCACACGGTGCCCTTTCTCTGTCATCTCCTACTTCTTTTTTTCTACAGCTCAGCTTTCTGCCGTTCCCCTGAAGGCAGGATGTTCTGGCCCTGCAGTGGGACCTTGTGGCTGTGATTTCTGGTGTATGGGACACTGTTCCTCAGTCTGTTTCAGCTGGGGAAGAGGGGGACACCTTCCTGCAGAGCTCTGGAAGAAAAAGTGACCTCACCTAGGCTTACCCTTGGGAAGCAGTGGGAGTCCCCACTCTTGGGCCTTACCTCCCTCTCTCCAGGGAGGCCCCGAGAACACTGAGCAGGGGCTGCAAGTCTAGGCATGAGCCTCTCCTTTGCCCTTCTGCTTGGCCTCTGACTCCTGTGACCACAGGCAAAGTCATGTGTAAGCAGGGTCTGTAAGTAGCTGGCTGAAGGCTGCCCTGAGGTGGAAGGGGGTGGCTTGGCTAAGGCATTGGCTGGGACTCAGGGACTTGCCTGGGGGAATCTCCAAGGGCTGCTTGCTGTCTGGGTATCCTGGGACCAAGCATATGTCTTGGGGTGGCAGTGAGTGCCCCTGTCAGTGGAGTATGTAAACAGAGTCCTGGCTTCCTTGGGGCTTCCGAGGAGCTATTGCAGGACACAAATTCAGGCAGAGGATTTGGCTCTGTACAAGTTTTATTGGACTCCTTTCACACCGGGGCTCTTCACAGTCCTCAGACTGCAGCCTCGTGGTGCCTCTGGTGGGCTGTAGCACTCTGCTGCTGCCCACCACCCAGCTCTGTCTAGTGCCCCAAGGAAAGGAGTGAGGGTATGCAGAAGGAAGAGGCTAGAGACAGGTCATGAGCCCTTCCCCGACCCTGGGGTGGGACCCTCCCTGTCTCCACAAAGCTGGCCCAAGAGCTGCCAGTGCAGCCACCCAACAAATCCAAGGCACTGGGAGGAGCACAGTCAGTCTTTGGCTAGCTACGTGGCCAACATATGCCCATTGGCTAGCCGCCAGGCTGCCCGGCTCCGAGGGCCATCGGTAGAAGCTACCCCAGGTCCCTGAGCTGCCCCATTCTTGAGCTTCGGATGCTCCTGGGCTTCCTCCCCTTCGCTCGAGTCCGACTCCTCCATGTCACTGCGAATGTCCTTCTCCAACTGGGAAATAGAGAGTGTGTATGAGGCTGGGCTGGGGCTGGGCTGGGGCTCCTGGATAGCACATGGGAGCCCACCCTCGCCTGGCCCTACCTGGCCTTTCTTTGTGAAGTTGCGGATCATACGAAGGATGAGGCAAGACCAGAACACATGCAGCAGTTGCAGCATCACCAGAAGCGAGTTGAAGAAGTAATAGCCAAAGAAGGGGCCCGAGTTGGCGATGGACTCGTAGTACGTGGTATAGAGGATCCTGCGGTAGGCACGTGGGCAGGCAGAAGGAAGAAGTGGGCTTTACCAGCAGCTCTAGCCCCCAGTCCTAGGAAGCTCTAACATGTGTGGCCTTCCCTGCTCCAGAATTTCTGATGGCTCCCTGTTGTCCCAAGAGTAATACCTATGCTCTTCAGCTGGGCATTTAAATGCCCCCTCTCACTTGGTTACATGTTAAATGAGATCACACAAGCTTACTAATCATACACAACCATGAACTCCAACAGGGCACTTAGTATTCCAGTTGCTCTCCTGGGTGGTCCTTTGACATTTTTCCTTCTCTTCTCAGGCTGCCTTTTCCCCCTCACTCAGCAGGCTTTCCCCCAAGCCACCCTCCCCAAATCAGCTGTAAGGCCACCAGTGACCTGCTTGGCTTGAGCAGAAGGTGCCCAGCTGGTCCTCTCTCCTCCCTGAGGCCATTCCCTTGTGTGCCTTTAGGGGCCCACACTTCTGCCTCCTCAGGTCACGGCCACTCCCTCTTGCCTCCCCTGCAGCCTTCCCCTGACTGGCACACATCTCTGTCCACACCTTGTCCCTGCATGACCTGTCTCATCTCGTGGCTGCAAACACCAAACATTCACATCTCTCCATGCTGGTGTGCCCACTGTATCCTCTATGGCTTTTCTTGGTGGTCTGCAGGCCCCTTAAACCCAACATCGTCAAAGCTGATCTCCTGATCCTCAAAGAACAGCTCTGAGCTCAAAACCACATCATGACTTGAGTGTTTCCTGAGTCCACCCACTTTCCTCACCTGCACTGGCCCAGTTCCATCACTGCTCACTTGGACAGTGGCCTCTGTCCTGGTCCCCCAGCTCCTGGCTAGGGGGTGGGCGCTCTCACCAGCTGTTCTCTCCGTAGCCACCACAGGGTGCCTATGAGCACCCAAGTCTGGCCCCCTGCCTCCCCCTAGCTCACTCTGCTCCTGCCATATGGGCTTGCTGTTCCTCCAACAAACCAGGCACAGTCTAGGCTAGGGGCTTTTGCTTGTGCTATTCCCACTGCCTGGAAGCCTTTTCTGCTCAGATCAGCACTGGCCCCTCCTCACCTCACTCATCTTTCTGCATGAACACTATCAGAGATGCCTTCCCTGGCCATCCCTGTAATTCCAGTTACCCACACACTTCCTGGGCCTATCTTTATTTTCTCGTTAACATGATCACCACTCTGTCGTGTGCTCTATATTCTACTTATTTGCCTTATTTAATCCCTCAGTGTCAGCTCCACATGAGCAGAGATCACATTGCTCCCTTTGCTGGGAGAGGCTCAGCTAATAAATACACTGGGCAAAGGCTTCAGTGAGCTGGCCACCAGCCTTGCTGTCCATTCCATGTTCTAGGCACACAGGGGAACAAGGACTGAGCCATTTTCTGTCCCTTTCACCTCTGGGCTCATGCTGTGCCCTGGGCTGGGAACACCACACCCTTCTGTGCCTCCTCCTGGAAGCCTCACAACTAACAAACACCCCCTGCTCCCTGGGTCTGAAACTGAGTGAGACAGGACTGGATCCAGCTGCACCCACCCATCTGCCCAGCGCCTACTGGAGGGCTGACTCACTGGGTGGGGAAGAGCACAAGGCGAGTGTAGAAGAAGACCAAGGAGAAGACGATGAAGAGTGAGTTGCACACACGCCACTGGTGTGCATAGTTGAACATCTTACAGGCCTGGGGAAGACAGCAGAGAGGGAAGGATTCGGGTGGGTGGTGGTGGCAGTAGGGGACCAGGTGGGAAGGAGCGGGGCCTCTTCCCCAGGAAAAGGCACCATGGGGCGACAGAGCCTTATTTCCAGAAACTGCCCACAAAGGTACAAACTGGGTCTCTGAGACCCTCACTTTCCAGGAATCGCAGGGAGCGGGGCCTCACCTCTCAGGAAGACAGAGAGGGTCTGGGACTCACCTGCCAGGAAGACTGACTAGGGTGAAGTTTGCTCTCCCTGGAAAGCAGAGTGGGAGGGGCCTCACTTTACTAGAAGCTTGGGAGGGGCGGGGCCTCATCTCCAGGGACCCTGGGCTCAGGATAGGACCTCTGAGAAGGGGGCTGGGCCCACCTCCAGCAGGTAGTCAGCGGAGTCATGCAGTAGCAGCACTAGAGAGCCAATGCGCAGCAAGTTCGTGCTGTAGGAGAAGGTGATGAGGGTGATGGTGATGAGGTGGTGCACTACCTGCTCCTTGAAATCCTGTGAGAGATAGCGGGTCACTGCCGGGACACGGCTGGGTAGCCAGAGGAGCCCCCTCAGGGGCTTGGTTGGCACCACGCTTCGTGCCTGGGGGTCTCCAGGTATTGGTGAGGCCATCCCTCCCCAACTGGAACTGGACCCTGACTCCACAGCTCATCACTTCCCCAGCTGGACTCTTGGCAGGGCCTCACCTTACGCCTGATGTCAAAGGACAGAGTGATCAGCAGGGAAATGTAGAAACTCAGCTCCAGGAGGTACCAGTAGTACAGGGCCGGCTTCAGGGTCTGTGGCAGGGCAGTGAAGCAGGGTTAGCTGAGGGGTGGAAACTTCCTCAGAGCCCTCAGTGTGCTCAAAACCAGGACACTGGAATCCCAGAGAGCCAAGAAGGTCTGAGCTCCCTAACCCAGGAGGTAATCAAGAGTAGTGGTTTTGTGTCTACTCCTGCTCCAAATTTCCTGACGCCTGGCCCCTCTCCATTCCTCAGGGGAGGCCAAAACAGACAGCAGGACTTGGAGGAGATTACAGTGTCATGTCCAGGTCTGGCTCTGCCGCCTTTGGCCATACGAACTCTGACCACTCCATTCCCCCCTCCAGCTCCAGGCAACCCCTGTCACTCACCTGATATGGGTAATTGTCCCAGCACATCGCTGGCCTCCAAAGCCATGACTCCTGTGAGGACACAGACATCTGAGGCTGCCCAAAGACCAGACCCCAGCCCCCCGCCCTGGGCCCAGGGCCTGCTTGGGGGGGTCCCCTGGCCCTTGGTACTGCTGTCACTCAGCTCTGCTGTGTCCCTCCTGGTTACATCTCTGTTCTCACTGCAGATGAGGAGCTCACTCACTGCCTGACCCCAGCCCCACCCACAGGAGGTCCCAACAGGCTTCCCTAGGACTTTGCCAAGTTTTTGCTCCCTTCTCTGTGCACATGCTTCCTCCCCCTCTGCCCACACGCCTCCCCACCTCCACCCCAAGCTGGGCCTGGCCCATAGCGGGTGCTTGTGGGGCAGGCAGAGAGCCAGGGAGCAGTCAAGAACACTCACGTGGTAGAGGACCGAGAGGCCACCAAAGAAGGAGAACAGATAGAAGGCAAACCTCCAGCTGCAGACAGGTAGGGAGCCCATGAGGCAGCTGCTGACAGAGCACACTCCTCCCCCCTCCCCAACCCCACCCTGGGCTGACCTGGCCTCACAGAACTTCTTGGTCAAGCAAGGCCGGTCCTGGTTCCGTCGTCTTCGGAACCAGCGTTGGGTCTGCCTCAGTGTGAGGCCACACTGGGTGGCCAGGATAACCATCTCAGGCTGGGGAGGGGACATGAGGGCCAGGGTCACAGAAGTGGCTTCCCACTCATCCCAGAACAGGTGGGACCCATCCCCTGTAGCCCTAGACCTCACCCGTGCGACTCTCTACCTGTGAAGATAGGGAGGTATGGGTTGGAGACCCCCAAACAGTCAGGCCTTAATGAGAACCCAGCCCTGCTCACAGGACAGACTGATGACTGATGAGGGCTGGGAGCAGCTCTCTATAGAGGTTTCCCTGCACCCCTCCAGAACAGTGTAGTCTCACCCCTGCTCCAGGCAGGCAGTTGAGACCTTGTTTCCCATGCGTGCCTGCAGCGGGACTGACAAGAGACAGGATCACAAGGCTCTGTATTCTGCAGGAGCAGAATACCCCCGTGCCCAGGGTAGGAAGATCTCTCCCTTCCTCTTCCTCCTGAGGACCCAGCCCAGACCCTTCCCACCAGGCAGCTATACCACGGATGGGGCCTGAGGGAGGGGCATAAGACTACAGAACCCCCAGAGTATCTGAATACTCTCCCCCAGGGCAGGAGAGACACTGGCTCCCCAGACCCTCTCCAGGCCCAGGAGCTGCCTGTTAGTCAGCTGGGCTCACTGATTGGGGTCTGGTGTCATGGGGGAGAATGGGTGCCCTGGTCTTTCTCTGCCCCCAACAAGTGGGCCACTTGCCACCCCCAGGCCCCATCCACACAGCAGCCATGTGGGCAGATGGGGACAGAGGAGGGTGGCAGGGCCCTCACCTCAGTGGGTCTCTGTCCTTCTACCAGGAAGTGTTTCTCCAGCGTGGCATTGGGTTGCACCGGCCTCCTGGCTCGATTCCGCACACCCAGCCACCGGCTTAGGGGCAGGCCGACGAGTCTGGGTGCAGGGGACACAGGGTTCATCAGTCCACATGAGGAGGGACATACATGCTACAGATGGTGGTGACACTGAGGCTGGGCAGGGCCAGGTCATGTCCTGGGACCCTGGAGGAGATCCTGGCTGCTGTATTAGACTGAGTGTAAGAAAGGCAGCTGGGCTGTGCTGGCCTGCAGAATGGGGGTGTGAAGGTCAACTTTTGGGGTACCAAATCACTGTCATTCAATCTAATCCCAAACCGTGGGTCAGAGTCCCCTCACTTTCTGTGCCCTGGCCACCTAGAATCCTGGTCTGGCCCTAACCAGGCTGAGGCTCCCACTCAGGTCTCCCCTCTCCCAGCCTCACCCTCACAGGGGGAACACCTGGAGGAGCTGGATTCCGATCAATCACCACGTTGCCCACAAGGGGGCTCCCAAGGCCAGGGGTTCAAAGATGGAATTTCATCTCCATCATTCCACCTGATGCCTTTGGGATAACAGTTCCACCTCAGTTGGGACCATTAGTTAAACATGCAAATCTTGCTCTGGGCTCCAGTAGTGAATCTGGGCAGGCCCTGACCCCTACTCCCCACCCTGTGGGAAAGCAGACCTGGCCAGTGGGGCCTCTCAGAATCCCCCAGGCAAAGCCTCCAACCCTGCTGGCCTATGCACTATGTGACACCAAGCAGGTCCCTTGACCTCTCTGTGCCTCCATTTCCTCTTCTGTAAGATGGGGGTGATAATAGCACAAAAATGGGTGAAGACACTCGGCTGCTGTGAGCAGTGGCTGGCACAGATAAGTGCTCAAAGGGTGCCTGTTAAATATGTCAGTGGACATTCCCTGGTCCCCCGTGTCCAGGGAGCCCACACCTGGGAGCTCCTTAGGAGTGGGAGACACAAAGCAAGATGCAGACGGCTTCCATGTCCCCGTGGTCAGGGGGAAACCCAAATGGCTGGAGGGGTTAAGGGCTCTGTGGGAGCAGGGCAGGCTTCCCTGGAACTCAGCCTTAAAGGGGCTGCAAGAGAGTGTGTGCGAAGGCCAGGTGGCAGCAAAGATGGCGAACCAGGAATGGGTGTGAGGAGCGGAGGAGGAAGTGCTTGTGGAGAAAGGGGAGGGGCCCTCAGCATCACAGGAAACATTGTGGGGGTCGGCAGGTAGGGGGACGGGCAGTGGGGAGGCCAGCAGGATAGGGGCTTGGCAAGGTAGGTCTAGGAGCTATGACCACAGCTCTAGTCACAGGGGAAAGGGTGGGGCTACCTGGGACACGGGAGGGACCCCAGGAGAGATGCCCACGCCCAGGAGAAGGACTCCCAGGGAGAGGGAGAAATCCAGTTCCGATTGATCACCATCTGGGTCACCTGAGAAAGGCCTGGAAATCCACAGGGTTTGGCAACTGGAGGTTGCCAGGGGGATGGACGGCATATACTCAGGGATGGTGCCAGGCTGTAGGAGGCTGAGGCTGAGCGGAAGGGGCCCCACAGGCGAGGCTATAGGGCCTGTGCTCCTTCCTTGGCTACAAAGGGTGGGAGGAGGGAAGGTGATAGAAGGAGTAATGGGGAACCAGGGAGGGGTGGCCTCTCACAGAAGGAGGTGGCAGGGGGTGGGAATGGAGGGGTGGCAGGGCAGGAGTTTCTCTGCTCACTGACTGACTGGCCCCTGCAGATCTGTCCTTGGCCAGCAAAATAGGCACATGCCCTCCAGGTCCCCACCCATGTTCCGAAGAGGCTGCACAGCCAGGTCAGAGCTGCAGCCAGTGTTCTTATACCAGCCCTCAGAGCCCAGAGGAGTGTGAGTGGCAGCAGCTGGTGGCGGAGGGGGAAATTTGGTTCAAAGCTAGGACAAAACCACACAAAGGCTGCAGCACAGGCCAGCACTGCAACACCAGCCACAAGGGACACTCACCTCTCAAAGGTGAAGCGCACGACCACCAGGGCCAGGGCCAGGGGCAGGGCCGCCAGCATGTCCTGGGGGTGGGCATAGACCCGGCCATCACGGTCCTCCAGGTCAGCCCATGAGCTATTAGGTGGTAGCCAGAACCTGTCCTGCCACAGCCACTCGTTCAGACTGGACCACATCCTGTGGACAGACGGTCCAGTTAAGGGTGAGCTCAGCCTGCAGGTTGGGTGATGCTGGAAGGCCTATCTGCCTGGCCCTCGCCCCGCCCCCATTGCCGGGCAACCTGGAGTTTATTACAGTGGGGGTTAAGGCTCAACTTGGGCTGTGTGTCTTTAGGCAAATGACTTGATCTCTCTGAACCTCAAGGTCATCTATAAACCAAGGGCAGCATATATCCACTCTTCAGCTCAGCCTGGTGCCTGTTGATCCTTAACAACACAGATCATGACAGTAGTTATTATTCTGCACTTTACAGACAGGAAAATGATGGCTAGAAGTCAAGGGGGTGGCTGGGTAGGGTCATGACCTTGAGTTCTCAAATGTCCAGGAAGGTTTCCTGCCATGTGGGAAGGTGCCTCGGATACAGTCCAAAGATGAAGAATTTAAGGAAATCTGTAATTCCCTCCCCAGCCGCCCTTCGCCAGGTGGACTCCCTGGGAGGTCTGAGTGATACCCCTGGAGGTATGAGTATCAGCTGCCTCGCTCGCTATCCCAGACCACAGGCGGACAGCAGATGCATAGGAGAACCAACAGCAGGACCGAGCTCTCAGGATAACAGAGTAGTAACTGAGGTGAGCCAGCTTTCCACCAAGAGCTGCCTGGGACCAGCCCCTATCTGCAGAGCCCAGCCATCCAGAGTGGCCCACACAGCTTCTTCCTTCCACAGGATTTTAAGACAAGTGCCCAGAGCCTCACACCAATCCCCACTTGGAATGTTTGTTCACTCATTGTTCATTTGTCCATCCATCCATCCATCCATCCACCCACCCACCCGTCCATTCACCTGTCCATCCACCTGTCCGTCCGTCCATCCATCCATCCATCTATCCATCCGTCTGTCCATCCATCCATATACACACCAGTCCATCTACCCATCCATCTACCTATTCATCCATTTGTTAGGTCCATTAATCCACCCACCCACCCACCCATCCATAAAATGTTCTCTGAGTGACTTGTATACACCAGCCTGGGCTGGGTGCTGAGGGCACAGCCAGGAACAAAGCAGACACATTCCTGTCTCCAGGGATCTCCCAGGTCAGCAGGAGAGGCAACCAATACACAAATAAATAGATTCATAATAAATGAAATAACACAGTGTGATGAGGTCTAGTGAGAAATAAACAGGGTGGCATTGATTTTCAGTGAGGTGACCAAGGGAGGTCTCTCTGAGGAGAAACCATCTGAGCTGAGACCTAGAGATGAGGAAGGCCTGAGTTTATGTGAGGGAGGGTAGTGGTGGTACAGAGGGGCTTGCCAGAGAAAGAAGCAGCATGAGCAAAGGCCCCGAGGCAGGACTTGGCTCAGAGTGCTGGAGGATCAGTAAGAAGGCCAAGAAGGCCTGTGTGGTGCGAGCAGAGTGAGCAAGCGAGAGGAAGGGGAGGTGAAAGCAGGAAGGGCACTGGGCAGGGAAGGTCAGGCAGGGCCTGTGGGCCTGTGGGAAAGAATTAGGTGATTGCCCCAACAGAAAAAAGAGTTTACAGTGAACACCCACATACCCACTGCTAGGTTCCACCATTCACTGTTCCCTGTTTGCTTCCTCACACACCTGCCCATGCTTCCATCTATCTCTCTATCCACCCAGCAGCCCATTTGATTTTTCTGGATGCCTTTCAAAAGCAGTAGCAGACACAAGTCAAATTACCCCTGAATATTTCAGCATGCAAGTCATAACTAGGGTTCAATATTTGCTCATGGTTTTTTTCCCTTCAAGGTTAATTTTACTTAGAGCAACATGCATTGATCTTAAGTGTTGAGTCACCCAGTTTTGGTAAATGCATGTACCTGTGTAACCCAGTTTCCTACCACAAACATTTTTGTTTTTCCATGAAGGTCTCTCATACCCTCTCCCAGTCAATCTCCATTTCTGCTGTCCAAAGGACACCTCTGTGCCAATTTTTTAAAAAATATTTTATTTATTTATTTTCAGAGAGAGAGGAAGGGAGGATGAGAGGGAAAGAAACATTGATGTGCAAGAGAAGCATCAATTGGTTGCCTCTCACTCGCCTGCTACTGGGGATCTGGCCCACAACCCAGGCATGTGCCTGACCAGGAATCGAACCAGTGACTTTTTGGTTTGCAGGATGACACCCGACCCACTGAGCCACACAGGTCAGGGCTGTGCCAATTTTTTTTTCCAACCTGCACAGGGGTCAGCATGCCTGTCAGATGGATAAGAAGGCCTATGAGAAGAAAGCTCTTTTATCTGTTCCAGAACTTCACATAAATGGAACCTCAGACTCCATCTTCATGCCTGGCTGTTTTCCCTCTGTATCATGGTTTTGAAACTCATCCATGTTGTTACATCTGCCATACTGGTTTTCCTTTTAAACATGGAACTGCAGGTACTGCAGGCATATAACACAATTGGTTATTTATTATTCACTTGTTGAGGGGCATTTGGAATGCTTCTAGTTTGGGGTTATCATGAGCAAAGCTGTTATGAACATTCATATCCTAGTCTTGTGTGAATAGTTTTCATGTCTCCTAGGACGGTCCGAGGAATGGCATTGCTGGGTCATGGGACAGTCACGTGCTTAACTTTATAAGCAACTGCCAAACTTTTCCAGGTGGATGTATCATTTTACACTCCTGCCTGTGTAGTCTGGGGGTTTTGTAGCTCCTTGTTATATTCTGGCTGAGATGGCAAGCCATGGGCTATGGGATGCCAAGCAGGAAGTGGCCTGGGGAAGACCAGAAGGGGCCGCTGTGGGCTGTCCAGATGAGGTAAGTGGGTGGACATTTCTGGAGACATTTTGAAGTCAGAGTCTCCAAGAGCTGAATACCCTCAAGAAAGAAGCCAGAAGCCAGAAGCAGGAATGTATAACTCCATTTATGTCAAGTTCAACACCAGTCAAAAGCAATCTACGAGACTTACATTGGTTTCCTGGGACTGCTGATTATGTGGCTTAAAACAATATAGATTTATTCTCATACAGTTTTGAGGGTCAGAAGTCTGGAAAGGATCTTGCCAGGCTAACATTAAAGTGTCAGCAGGGCTACAATCCTTCTGGAAGCTCCAGGGGAGAATGTTTTTGTGCCTTGCCTAGCTTCTAGAGGTGCCTGCATTTCTTGGCTCACAGCCCCCTCCTCTTCCTTCAAGGCCAGAAGCATAACATTTTCAAATGTCTCTCTGACCCTCCTGCCTCCTTCTTATAAGGACCCCTGAGATTACTTCGGGACCCACAAGTAATCCAGGGTCATCTCCCATCTCAGGGTTAGCCTGTCAGCAACCTTAATTCCATCTGCAAACTCAATTCCCCTTTGCCATGAGAGGTACTATGTTCTCAGGTCCCAGGATTAGGATGTGGACATTGTAAAGGGGCATTATTCTGCTCCCACATGGCTGGTCACCAGGAGGGGCCATGCAGAGGGCTGGAAGGCTCAGTTTCCTGATCCAGGCACTATTCTGGTTGAAAACATTTACTGAGTTGTGCATCTATAACATGGGCCCTTTTCTCTGTGCAAATTAAACCATTTGTACTTTTAAAAGCTATGATTCTGATCTGAGGTCTGGCGCAGGGGTTTTCTTGCCACACCAGCAGGCAATTTTCTGACACCATCTGGGCACCCTACAGTTCAATTCAATCCTGACATCATCTGGAGACAATGTCAGATCCCTCAGGTTAAGGGCTCTGTCCTACATCAACTTCACTGGGCTTCTGACCCATGATGGGCTACAAATCAAGAGGTTCCCACTGTTCCCTCCTTAGGTTTGATTAATTTGCTAGAGTGGCCCACAGAACTCAAGAGAAATGTTACTTGCTAGGTCACTGCTTTGATATAAAGGGTCCAAGTCAGGAACAGCCTGATGGAAGAGATACGAGGGGCCTGAATGGGGAAGGGCACAGAGCCCCCATGCCTGGCCCAGGCACCCTCCCCAAAGCCCCACATGTTCACAGCCCTGAGGTTCTCTGAGCTGTCCTATCAGCTTTCTCCGGAGTCTTCACTACACAAGCCCAATGGGTGAACTCATTGGCTACTGGTGACTGATTCACCAGCTCCAGCCCTCTCTCTGCCAGGGAGGTCCTGGGCAGGTGTGATAGCTTCAACCCTCTGACACGTGGTTGGGTCCCCTGAAAATTGGCCCTCATCCTTAGGTGACCAAGGGGCTTTCCAAAGTCACCTTAACATAACAAGATACCTCTGTCCCTCTCAGTTCCTAGTTTTAGGAGCTCTGTGCCAGGACAGGTGACAAGGGCAGAATTTGTATTTCTTATTATAAATCACAATATCACAAGTCAAATACTGAAAAAAGAAAAATTCTTAGAGCCTGAGGAACTGGGTGAACCAGGATGGGTGAGGGATTTTGGGGGCAGGAGCTGGGCTCAGTGTTGAACAAGACAAGCTGGGGTTGGAGGCATGGCTTAGATGTCCCTACGGACACGTGGAAGAAGCAGGAGCTCCTCAGGTGGGGTGGGGGGCAGCACTCATGTTTAACTCTGTCAGGATGGATGGGATTGGTGGTGTGTGGATAAAGGAGCAACCCTCCCCCCTCTCCCCTGCCACACCAGGGAATCCTGCATTCAGGGTCAATAAATGATTGGCAGTGGCCACTGCCATTGGACACTCTGGTAGAGGCAGAGCACCAGGCAGCAGTAGCCTGCCAAACGATCAAGGATCAAGGATGCTAGCAGTGGCTAATTTCAACCCGCAGGGCTCAAGTATCCCAGACAGAATAGACAGATGGAAAGGTACAAGTTCTGGTGCAAAGGTTCATCTCTCTAGCAAAGAAACCACCTACACTCACAAGCAAGGCTGACTTGGCCCCATGCACCCACTGGGGCATGTGGGCATACGCCCAGCCTGGCTTCCTGGCTACACACCTCCACTGCAGGGGATCTGCAGTCTCCTCCTCAGTGGTCATCCCAACCATCCAAGGGACATGCCCAACCACGTGCAGATGGAAGTGGGCTGGTAGTCTGGATCTGCAGCTCCATGTTCTTCCCTCACCCAAGGGAGCCCAGAAGGGGGTCCACTGAAGCCATGGTGCTTACAGGTCTCCAGGAGCTTCAGGGACAAGGGAGAACACATGAGAACAACAGCATCTCGTAATCTCAGGTCTCTATGGATGCACCCAGCCTCAAAGCCCACCATTCGTTGCCTGATGCTCTGCCCTCATCACATGGCACCACTTCACACACCCAGCCTTTGCAAAAGCTGTGCTCTGCCTGCAATGTCCACTTAGTATTTATTGCCCCATGCTGGGTATTGAGGACACAAAATGGGGGGAAAAGCAGGCAAGGTCTCTGTTTTTGCAGAGTTTACTCACCTTTCTTGTCTGTCTAGCAAACTCCTATGCATCCTTTAAAACCCAGTTGAGCTGTCACTTCCTCCTGGAGGCACCTTTCAATTGCCTCAACCTTGGACCCTCCTAAAGCACCTCCCCCAGCCCTGCCTCACTCACTGGGGTTGGGAGCCAGTCAGGCAGGCTCTTTAGAGGTGGTGAGGGGTGAAGGAAGGATACTTGACTAGTCTCCAACCCCAGTCCCCTGAGCTGAAGCAGGCCCAGCCCTGTCTGGCCCCCAAGTCACTTTGGAAAAGTGCTTTCCAAACCAGAGAGCCCTCCAAGGGGGCTTTCAGACTGACATACCCTACCCTGACTGCAGAGGTCTCAGCCCTGAAGTCCTACCTTTCTCTAACCCTAATGTCTGTCCTTCCTCCACCCCCTTTGCCCTCTTGATAAAGAAGAGATGCTGGTTTGGGAGAGAGGAGGGTCTGGAGCCCAGCAAACCGGCTGGAATTCCCGCTCTAATGCTCCCAGCCTAGGGCCTCCATTTATTCGCCCGCCTTTGGTGGGACAGGTGCCTGGCACACAGGGTAGGCTCAGGGACAGCTGTAAACGGGCATCCATGGCCAGCAAGGCCCAACATTCTCTTCCACCCCAACCCCCCACCAGATATCCTCTTCCCGAGGGACAGGAGGAAATGGGGCTCAGGGTGGCACGCCTTGGCCTTCCTTTTTCCTCTCTTGGATGCTAGCTCCTCCACCCATTCCCTGTGACCCTCGCCTCCCTGGGCATTGTCTGCTCCATCTGAGAAATGGGTACAGTCAGGTCTCCTGCTGCCGCACACACCGCATGCTGGTACTGCAACCGACTAGACTCCTGTCTCACCCTTTTACAGTCGTGCGACCTCGGCTACTGACCTGGCAGCTGGGTGCCTCTGTCTCCTCATCTGTAAAATGGAGCCATGACAGATCCTTCCACGTGAGGTGGCTGGAACGACGCCCAGGCAGAGTGGGCATGAGTAACTAGACTTTATCTAGTTACTTATTGTTAGCCGTAGAGAGAAGAGGAGGGGTGGGCTGGGGCACTCTGGAAAGGAGGGGTACGGGCCTGCAGCAGGTTCTGGGTGGTTGTTCCCAGAACAGCCCCTGGCCTCTGCAAAGGCACCTTTCCTGACAGCTGTAGCTAATGAGCTCAGGCTGGGCTCAGCCAAGGCCACAGAGGGGTCATTTGGAGAATGACCATGTAGATGGCTGGGCCAGCTTGACCAGCCTGAGCCTTCATCCCCATTACTGCCATCCAGCCTGCCCCTGGGTCTCTCAGTCCAGCTGTATCTTGAAGCCTCTTTGGCCTTTTCCTAGCCTTGCCCCTGCCACCTGGAGCCAGACTCTGATAACCCTTCTTAGTGGCTAAAAATACCCCCGGAATGGAGGACAGAGGGAGATTAGGGCTTATGCTGACACAAGGAAGGGCAGGAAAGCACAGGGTCCCTGGCCCGCCCCAGGGCTCTGATGGAGTCCACCAGCCCCTGTTATGGCCCCAAACCCCGTAAGGTTTCAGCAGAGCAGGGCTGTGCATACAGGTTTGTTTTATTTTCAGTCTAGCTAGAAACACAGGACTGGCCTGAGTTGTGAAATAGGAAATCAATTCAGATTCCAGATGTCCAGGTCCAGCCCAGGGACAGGCAGACACACAAGGACACACACACCAAATTGCCTGGCTCTTGCAGCTGGAGGCCCCAGTGAAGAGCACATGATGTGAGGTGTGGGGACTGTTTGTTGATAACCACAGCTGCCCCTGCATGGGGCCCTGGCTGTCCCCTCTACTCCGAACCTCTCTGAGCAGGGTCCCTGTGGGCTGCTAATGACCAGAGATGCACTTAGCCCAGGAAGGGCCCCAAGTCCAGGGCACCCCTCGCCTCAGCCCCTCCTATTTGACACACTCCTGCCCTGTAGATACAATCCTCTCTCCCCAGCAGCTCAATTCACTGCAATGATTACTTGGTGGGCCTCCAACTTGCCAAGCTCACTTCTGCCCCAGGGCCCTGGCGCATGTGGGTTCCCCCATGGCCTAGGGTTTGGGTCTGCCTCCTCCTCCACGTTGCCTCCTCAGAGAAGCCTTCTCAGTCCACTTCCAAAGAAGCCACCATACTAGTCCATCTCTTCGCCCTGTTCTATTCCTGCAGCCCTGTCATCTCAGTTGATCTGTTTACTTACTTGTCTGCCTCATTCTACAAGGCACATGCCTCATGAAGGCATGGGTGTTATCATCACAGCTGGGTCCTCAGACGGGGCCTGGCACAACCTTAGGTGCCAACTAAATACTGAGTGGATGAATGAGTGGGCAGAACAGACACATTGATGGGTGGAAATGAAGACTTTAGCTGGTGGTCAAATGTTCTAGAGAAAGGACCCACTTTCTTTAACAGGCTAGGTCAGACCCATCCCCATAAAGCAGGTGCACTGTCTCCCCAGAAGCTGAGAAGTCTCAGGTTCAAAGCCAGAAACTACTGGAAACAGGCTACTCTGCTAGCAAGGGAGAGAGCCAGGGCTGGAAGCTCCCCAGGGGCTGCCAGTGATCAGTGCTCATAGGACCCTTGAGGGGCCTCCCAGGCCTGCTTCTGTCCACCAAGGTTTCCCCAGGGTTGCCCCCTCCCACATACACCAAAGGCTCAGGGGCCTGGCTGATCTGAGCCAGGTACCTGGCATTCTCAGCCCATTGGCCACCCTTCCTCACCAAAGCCACCCCTCCCATTCCCCTGGCTATGCCCCATCCCCCAAATTGAACAACCAACACTGGACCATGAAGCTTGCTCTACAGCTGCCCATCAGTTGTGCGGTGGGCTGGCTGCCTTGCCCTGTTCCCTCACACAGCTCCATTTGAGCCCCTGCCCTACTCCATACCCAGGCCCTAGGAGGCCCAGAGCTTCCCCAGGGGTCCAGCCTCCAGCTCTTTGCATCAGCCTTTTGCCAGAAACGCCTCCACCCCCTTCACTGTGCCAGTTCCTACTAGCCTTTCAAGACCTGGATCAGATTAAATTCTCCACTTAAGAGACTTTCTCTACCCTTCCCACCCTCCTCAGCCTTTCTTAAGAGCTTTTTCTCTGGCCATGGTCAGACCCCATGGAGCTGAGAGAGCGAGCTAGCTCTGCATCTCCCTCAAACACTGAACACCAGGGAGAGGCCTCAGGGTCCCCAGCGTCAGCTAATGTGGGTATATGTTGGGGTGTCAGTCAGGGAGGTTTCATGGACTGAGGGACGAGAGAGGATGGGGTCTCTTGGAGTTTGCAGTGGGATCTGATACTTGCACAGGGTTGGGTCAGCACAGGTGGGGGGTGTAGGGCGGCTCTCTCAGATACCACAATCAAACAACACTGCTTTATTGAGGTGCCATTACCATGTATGAAACAGCATGTTTCAATAGTGAGATTCAGTATGTTCTACATATGTGCACAACCATGAAATCATAACCTCAATCAAGACATTGAATACAGCTGACCCTTAAACAACACAGGTTTGAACTGCGTGAGTCCACTGCATATGCAGGTTTTTAGTGTCCTGTAAACAGATGATGGAAACTTATAGTATCCATCAGTATGAACTGTACTACCAATGTATTTTCTCTTCTTGATGATTTTCTTAATAACATTTTCTTTTCTTTTATGTTTGTTATATTGTAAAAATACAGTATCCAGTACATATAACTTACAAAATATGCATTTGTTGACTGTTATGTTGTTGATGAGGCTTCTGCTCAACAACAGGCTCTTAGCAGTTAAGTTTTGGGGGAGTTGAAAGTTACAGATATATTTTCAGGTGCATGCAAGGTCAGAGCCCCCAACCCCCACACTGTTCAAGGGTCACCATCTCTTCCTGAGGTTTCCTTGTGCCCCTTCCGAGTCCTCCCTCTCGCCCTTCCAGTGAAAACTGGCAGCAACCTTGGTGTCTGACATTTGGGGATCAGGAACCTCAGGATTCCATGCACTGAATCATTAGGTACAAGCCGTGAAGACAGCCGGCTCAGTGAAATGAGCCAGTCACAGAAAGACAAACACTACAGGACTCCACTACGGGAGGTCCCTGAGGAGTCAAGTCCAGAGCGACAGAGAGTGCACAGCGGAAGCCGGGGCTGGGAGGTGGGGTGGGGGCTGTCCTTTAGCAAGGTGAGAGATTTAGTTCTGCAGGACGAAAGTTGTGGAGATTTCTTTGTGCAGCAATGTGAACATTCTTAACATCGAGCTGTGCACTTCAACACTGCCAATTTTTGACACAATTTAAAAAATTATCAAAAGAGGGGGAAGAGAAGAGGAAATGCTATGTTCACTGACTTGGGAGGATCACTGAGGTAAAAAAATGAAAGCAAATTCAGAGAGACACTAATGGCCCGCTCTGCAGTTTGCAAAACGGAAACCCACTGGGAGAAGTCTGGCCCTGGCGGGGCAGGGCTGCCACATCAGACCGGCCCTCTCTGCGATGACCACCAACTCTGGACTACGTACTAAATGTATAACGTCGAACAACATCATTTCACTATGATGTTGTGAGATGCTGTAGAACTGGGGTGTCAAGCTCATTTTCACCAGGGGCCATATCAGCCTCATGGTTCCCTTCAAAGAGCCAAATGTAATTTTAGGACTGTATAAATGTAACTACTTCTTAAAAGTAAAGCAAGAGCTCAGTGCTGCCACTGGGTAGAAACAAGGTGCCAGGCCAGATAAAACAAGGTGGAGGGCTAGATTTGGGCCACGGGCCTTGTGTTTGCCACCTGTGCACTAGCCTAATATGTGGCTATTTACATTTCATGTAATTACAATTAAATACAATTTAAAATACAGTTCCTCGGTTGCACATGCCTACACGCAATAGCTGCTGTGGCTAGTGTCCTGGGCAGGGCACACAGGGAGCATCGCGCACAGAAGACTACGGAGCAGTGCTGCTCGAGAGCGACCAAAACACGGAGACACTGGTTGGCAGCCTCTGTCTGGAATAAGGAAACAGCATGGGATGCATTTCCCATTTTTTATTGTTAGTCACTGGAAATAGAAACTGGCTTAAAAAGTGATAAGATAGAGCCCACAGAGACCACAACAGCTCAACAATGGATGGAGTGTGTTAAAAAGAGAGAGTCTAAAAAAGCAGTTTCAGATCCTACACAATTTAAAATAAAAAGCTGTGTGGGGGCTTTTGCCCTTCACACTCAAGTTGTCCTCCACCCACAGGAAATGCTTTTGTCCTCCTGAGGCTTCTTGGCCAAGGTCCCACTGTCCATCCTGTGTTTGGGGATGGGAACCTGGGAATCATCCCAGGCCCCTCCACATCCCTGGATACCCAGTTACTCTTTGACTCCTGCAATGGCACCCATCTCCCCAGTCACTGTTGACAGAGCCCCTTCTCTACTGATCCCGTCCGCTGCAGCCTCATCTCTCCGTGTCAATTATCATGGCCTCTGCCCCGGTCCCCCTGCCTGTGGGTTTTGCCTTGGCCATCTCCTCCATCAGCATCCATGCACACCAGACCCTCAGCTTGAAAGCCTACAAGTGCTCCCCCCGAACCTGCCACCAGGCACCCAGGAATACCCTCAGGCCTCTGAACATATCTCTGTCCCTGTCTCCCCCACCAGCCATGCCCTCCTTTTCTGCCTGCCAGACCCCTCTGGTTCTTCAACACTGTTCTCCAGACAGTTCCTCCAGAAAGACTGCCAGGTGCCCTCAGACTGGGTTAGGGTCCTTCCCCTGGACTCTCCTGCCCAACCCTTTTCTCAGAAAATTTTGGGTCAACATTTGTCTCCTCCCCAGTAGCCTGGTGATGTGGCCTGACCCCTCCATGTTCCCAGCACCTGGCACACAACAGATGCCCAGAAGCTCGCCATCAAATGGATGGCTGGAAGAAAGGCTATGCTAAGACCTTGATTCTGGCCACAGACACCCAGGCCTCAGGAAACAACTGAGCCCCAGCCTCGAGCCTCGCCATCCCTGTCCCACCTGCTCAATGACTCACCTGCCAGTCTCCTTCAAAAGGCTCACTTTTCTTCCTTAAGTACATTTATTTTCAGGTCGCCCTCCATCTCCAAAAGAGAGCCAGCTTCAGCGTCATGTGCATAGTGTCCATAAAACACAGTGAAAACAAGATGACATTCATTCCTGGCCAAGTGATTCCTCTACTTTTTGGACTTCACCTACTTCTAAAATTTCAGTTGGCTCTGCACACTCGGGTCCTGGATGAATATGGTCCAAAGCTGAAATAGGCTGAAAGGAGTGAACAGTTCCAGCCCTTGCTCACCCCTGTCTCAGTAATGGCAAGCATCTGTTTCACTGCATCAATACGCTTTCTGTGCCCTGGAGAATGTTCTGGAA